CCGTTCTTTGTTTTGAATGACTTAAAGATGATTTGAAGGATCTCTTGAAGAAAGACCTTAGTAGTGTGCTCTTCTTTTCAGAGATGAACTAACAACTGACAAGACTTCAGTTGAAGGTAAACTCGAATAGAGCTTCACTTCTGATCTTCCTTTCTCCACTTGAGATGGACTTGGGCAGATATTTCATGATCTTCCCTCCGTTGGCTTCTCCTTGGCCTCTTTCTTTGCTTCCATCTACTTAGCTTCCCTTAGACCCCTATTTACAGTATTGATAGTATTTTATTCATATAAAGATACCCTGAATATTTTGGGAGAGAGTTTCAATTTTCACATAGGGTTCGAAGGAAATTGAGGAAGTTTCTAATAGCAAGGCCAAGGATGTTGGAGTCAAGAAGTGCATGCGGTGATTGTTGCAAATGGATACCAAAATGTAAGTACCACATTTTTAATGTTTTTTTTTCTATTCAATTTGCCAATTTTCGTATTTTTATAATATTTGTTTGTTGTTTTTAACATTTATGTTCCCATGGTTGGCTATTCTTGTAAACAACAGATAAGGATTCAAAACTGAAGCATGGTGGTGGTGTGGGTTTTTAAGTTAGATGTAGGCGGTGAAACCAGAAAAAGAAGATGAATAGGGTCGGTTAAAGATCGGTCGGGTGCGTAGGATAGAGGGTAGGGTTTTGGGAATTTTGAGGTTTTTTTATTATAATGTCTAGAAAAAATGTTATTTGTACCTAATTTGAGAATCTAATTTGGGAGACCTAATTTAATGTAGACATTTGATTGAAAGTAGGCTCCATTTAATATTGACACTTATAACTAATTCATTGGTTACATTAAATTTTGGTCTCTCAATGTCTAAGTATGATTGGACAGGTGGGTGTGAGGGTTGGGTTTTAGGGTTTTGGGGTAGACTTTTTACATTGCATTTGTAGGTAAAAGAGTAATTGAACAAACATTAAATAAAACAGTACCTGAAGGTTCACAAGCGGCTGAAGTCATAGTTGAATAGACCAGAAGTAAGAAAGACAAATCAGTTCAAATATTTTGGAAAGGTGCACATTGAACGATATGAAGAATTTTAAGGAGGGCTCAATTGAAATGAGTGAAATATTTTAGAGGCATTTTGGATAATGTACTAGACAATATTTTTTTCAATTAGGACCGTGATAATTTGAGGTTTTAAGTGTCAATAGTAACTGTATAGCTTAAAACAAAACAAAAAAAAAACAAAATTAAAATAAATAAAGAGATCTTATTTAATTATTAGCAATTATCTAGGTGTGCGCCTCTTACTATATTTATCAAAAGGGAAGAAGCCAGTTCCCTTATTAACTTTTATTTGAGAGAGTTTTCTTTCAAAAAAATTTTGGAAAAAAGTTCACTTTGAATGAAAAGTCGATAGTACCCCTTCAAGCATAAGTCTTGAATGCTCAAACTCCAGTTTCCTAAAAAAATCAAAACACCACTCACCACTCTCTAAATCAACGCCAAAAACGGTGACCACTCTCCCTTAAAACAAGGACGCTGGATATATCTCTCAACGGTTTTTACATTGATTTGTTTCTTTGAATTTTGAAGGAACAATCTCATTAATTTCGTTTATCTATATTTTTTCGGAATCATCAACTTCATTACTGTGAAAATGCAATCATCTTGAAGAACTTTTGGGTTGAAGCTTCGATAGCCGGAACAGTCGATAACGATTGGAATAGTTCATTCACAAAAAATTCGATTATGAAAACCCAAAATATGTATCTTTGAATCATGCCAATCATTCTCCACTACCCTTAAACACGGAATCACTTTGATCTTCAGACAAAAAGCCAATGATTTCGCTCATTCTAAATTTTTGAATAAACACAAGATTTTCGGAATCATGATTTTCATGATTTAATAATGTTAAATTTTGTGATCTTTAAATAACAAATTTGAGTAATTTATCACATTTTTTTAATATGTTATCAAATTATTTTTCAGTAACTTGTCACATTTGTTTTATATTCACTACAAGAACTATGGCCTTTTGAGACACGGGCACAAAAAAATGCATACAAGTGGAGTCTCAAAAAATCTTTGTGACGGCAATGACTAGTCTCAAATAGTATTTGAGATAGTAATAAACCTTTTGTTATAGTACTATCACCACAAAAACTTATTTTTCTTCAAAACACGATTTTTTTTGTGATGGTAAACACAGCTGTCACAAAAACCCTAATTCTTATAATGGTTGTTACATTATTTTTAAATAACTTGTCACAATTTTTTAATATGTTGTTACATTATTTTTTAATAATTTGTCACACTGTTTTATATGTTGTCACTGTTTATGAATAACTTATCACATTGATTTTTATGTTGTTATATTATTTTAAAAAAAATTCAATTTTTTAAAAAACAAAGAAGAAACCAACACTTCCAGTTGAACAATTTCTGTTGGGCTAGAAGTGAATATGAAACTCTAAAATGGTGAAGAAGCGAAGATCTCGCTACACCCAAAAAAAAAAAAAATTACTGCATGCAATGTAAAACGAAGAGTTTTTTCAAAAAAAACTGAAATGTTGAAGAATAAAAATTTTTGGTTCAAAAGGATAATGTCAAATGAATTGATATCAGTTTTTTAAAATTCAAAAGGTTGTATATATCGCAATATCAATGTAATTAATATTTTCATATTGGTTATGCACGAATTAAGATAGGGATAATTAGGTAATATTAAAAAAAGGAAACTGAAAAGTATAACTTACTTATAATTTTTTATACTTGTGTTTGACTTAAGTATTTACATATGAAAACTGAGTTATATTCAATAAGACCTAAAAATATGTTCGCATCAAAATTACATAGTCTTGGCCCAGGCCAGTCCATGGGCCAAGTGATATTCTAAAGGCCCAATGTTCTAACCCATGCCTTGAATTTTCTGGGCTGGGGTGGTTGGGTCGGATGAGCCTTGGGCCAGTGGACACCATAAATGATAGAATTAATAATGTTTATTTTGGTTTAAAAAATAAAAGTGACATTAATCGCAGATAAATTAAAGGCGACTGAGTTTGAATAGTATTTCATTGTTGAGGAGAATCTTGTGTCTTCAAAAATTTTAATTAATTCCTTTGAGGACAAATCATATTTTATTTAGTTCCATACGAATTGAGTAATGCAATGATGTGAAATGCCAAAAAAACTAAGTGTCGGTAGCTTACACATATAAAACATAATTTTATTACCTATTAGACTTAAAGCTTTTATGTCAAAGTGTAAGGAAGGTCCTACACATTTTTGGTAGGCCCATACTATGAGGACTTCCTTTGTCCCCACAAGCTAATATTTAGAAAAATTTGATGACTCTTAGTGCGAGTATGCGTGTTCAAAGTTTAAATGAAAAAGCTACTCAAGGTGAAGCATCTTGCACCTCTTTTTGTATCTCTATATTAATACCTTACTTCAGTCATTTACCTTATATCCTAGCTTCAACAACACTAAATTACAAAGTTCATTGATAATTGGTGAATATTTTTCTTCATCTATTTTTGGTGTGTAAGTTATATTATATTTTTAGGCAAAGAAAAGTGTGTAAAATTTTTATTTTTCAAGGTGTGTGTAGACTATGAGAAATTACAGTGAATAGTTGAACTGTTGTATCCTAGAGGTGACCTGTTGTAAGTTGCTACAACGGAGAATTTATCCGTAAGGGCGTGCACCGTTTTAAAGAGAGTGATTTAGTTCGCGTCTAAGCTCCAGTTAAGTACTTTATTTATGGTATAAAATCTATTGTTATCTCCAATTGAATGATGTTTAAAGTAAGTGCGACAATTCTCTCACTTTCATATTTACATAATTTGTTGGATTGATGTTTATTTCTATGACCTTTGTGTTTATTAAGCTATTAAACACTTTTTGTGTGAATTGAGCCCTTAAACTTTCTAATTATGTCAATTAAGTTCCATATGTCTGCCTCCGTTAGTTTTTTGAACAAAAAATGATGAAATAGGTCACTCATGTGACACAAAAAGGTTGTAGTAAACTACATGTATGGTTCTCAAATTATGATCTTTATATCAATTAAGCTCTAAACTTTTTTTTTGTGTCAATTATGTCCTTAAACTCTCTAATTGTGTCAATTAAATCTTTTTGTCTTTTTGTGTCATAGAGTCACGGGAGTGACACACTCTAACGGAGGTTGGCAGAAAGACTCAATTGACATAATTAGAGAGTTTAGGGATTCAATTAACAAAAAAAAAAGTTCAGGGCTTAATTAACACAAGATTGATAGTTTGTGCACTATATATGTAATTTAGTAATTTTTTCTCTCTCTCTCTCTTTTGTCGGGATTTGTTGTCTTCCTGCAAGATTAATCGCCTTTATACGTGTGCACATATACTTTTGCAAATTAGTAATCGACGTGCTTTTGTTCTAGGACGAAATTGTTTTCCACTTAAACAAAAATATTTCAGAGAAAGAGTTCATTGTACAATCATTTTGCTTGCTTATTTCCTACTCGGATCCTTTGAAAAATTAAAAGTGAAAGAAAGAAAGATGCTTACAAGAAACAGTTGAATTAGCATGTTTGTTGGTGTCTGTGACCAAAATCTAATTATTTCTCTCTTTTTTTATTGCAACTCTTTCGAGACTTTGTCCAAGGTACTAACAAAATAATGACATGTAGACAAGTCCAAACAAAGTTGGGATAAGTTCAAAGACGACTTCAAAAATAGGTTTATGTACAATCGACTTTGATTGGTAAAGTACAATTTATTCCATTCGGCTATTGTTAATCTATGTAGTGAGTGAAATCCATTACTTTTAGTGTCTCCAGCCCATCCTTGGATGTTACTATTTATAGGATGGGTAGCTAACCTTATGCCTATTTAATGGTGCATATATCTTGTAACATCACTCCTCCAAATAGTTCTATAATTTTGAATACGCGAGAGAACGAGTTAGGTCCTTCACTGGCAAAAGAAAGATCTATCTGCATATAGCAGTAGCATACTATCCACATGGATCCTAAATTGTGCATTGCTGCTGAATCCAACAACATTGATGTTCTGGTGCAAAACAAGGAAAAACTTGTGGAATTGACTCCACACCACAATACTGTTCTCCACATTACATCCCAACAGGGTCACACAGAATGTGTATCGAAGATCCTATCAATGCATCTATCGCTATTACATTGTGTGAATTCAAGTGGCAAGTCTGCACTTCATCTTGCTGCAAGGAATGGAAAGAAAGATGTAGTCATGGCACTCATTCGATTTGCAGCATCAGATGATGGTGCAGGGCTTGAAAGTGGAGTTGAAGCAGCCAAGGAGATGTTGTGAATGACAAACGAGGATGGAGACACAGCCTTGCACCTAACTGTTCGATATAATCAGTTGCATGTGGTTGAGATTTTAACAAAAGAAGATCAGGAGTATTCATATACTGCCAATAAAGCCGAGGAGACCCCACTTTATATTGCTGTAGAGGGGATATTTTAACTTGATTGAAGTGATCTTGGAATCATGCACATCACCAGCTTATGATGGCCCAAGTGGTTGTACAGCTTTACACGCCGTTGTACTCTCCAAAACCAGAGGTACAAAGTACTACATCATTATTATTTACTACTGATGACATAATTCGCAAAATTTCAGCCCAACTTTCACTTCAAAAATGATGTGGTTATTAGCCATTCAATATTCTTGTGCCCCTTGTTTGTTACAAGGGATAATGCCAACTCATTTGGGAATTAATAAAGTTTCGAGTTTAAAGTTGGGCAGTATAAGAATGTTGATTATCTACTCGTAGGATGTTGCAAAAGAGAAGAATTGAACACCCAAAGTCGAACACAATTGTCGCTAAGCAATAATTATTAATGCATCTAGGAACGTAAAGAGAGGCAATCGCCAACGGAGAAAGGCGTAGAGCGAGGGGACGAAGGTTTCAGAAATTTTTTTGCTATTGCATAAAATATGTTAAGACTTTGTTTGGTTAGCATTAAAGCATTGGAAAGTATAAGAAAATGAAAAAAAAAACAAACCAACTTTTTCTTTGTTTGATTAGCCTGAAAGTACAATTGCTCAAGAATTTTTTTTTTCTTCAAGTGTCAAATTTTCTTGTAAACATCTATTTTGGTGTCCCACAAATTATGCGAGAAAATTTTTGTTTTTTGTGAAAGTGCTCTTATTTTCCTGTTTTGTCCACTTACCCTTTCTCCATTAGATTGATATGATAAGGATAATTTAGTCCTTGCATCAATTTTTTTAACAAACTTTTCATTCTAATAAAACGCATACAAGAAAATAAATTTTTCTTTCCATTTCTTTTCTTTCAATTCACTTTTTATTATTTTCATTTTTCATCGTCAATTTTTTTCTAACAAGAATCACATAGAGGAACCGAATCTTTTGAATGCTTCTTTGGAGGAGCATTTGAAAAAATAGAAAGTATTTTCGATCCGTATGAATGCCTATTTTGATTAGTTGCAATAGTGGAGAACTATCCCAAAAACAAATCCTTTGGACTCATGGCTACAACCAAAGTTTGAAAGTACAGTAATATCCACAATCATGCACATCTGCTAATCTGGGATTGTTTTGCAAGAGTCGATCTTGTGACTACTTTCCCAAAAAAAAATCAATAAAACCTTCTCCACCATACTTGAGGCAGCTATGTGAATCTTGATTTGTCATTTTGACTGCCTAAGGTTCAACTGCAGGCTATTAATTTCTTTTTTAAAGAATTCAGATTGATTTTGATTTTTTTTTCTATGTCATTTTGCTAACATGTGTATCATTTCATCTTTATTCTCACCAACTTCCCCAGCTTGTACAGTCAAATTGTTGAATTGGAAGAACTCTCTCGTCAAGAAAAGGGATGAAAAAGGATTGAGTCCGCTGCATTATGCTGCATTGAGTGGATTTTCTTGTAGGACATCCCAGCTATTAGATGTAGATAATTCCGTTGCATACATTTCAGACAATGACAGCAATATAGCTCTTCATATAGCAGTTAGTAGAGGTTGTTGTTCTATCGTTAAAATACTTATGTCGCACTCTCCAGATTGCTGGGAAATTACGAATGACAAGAGACAAAATATACTTCATACTGCATTGAAGGAAAAAAGGAAGGCCATAGTCAAATATATCTTACAAAACAGTAGAGCAATCAGCACTCTCATAACACAGAAAGACATTGATGGCAACACACCTCTCCATTTCTTAGCCGCTTCTCTCATAAGGCATCCTATGGCGGATAAGAAGGCCTTAAACAAGGAAAAGTTTACTCCGTTGGACATGATAACTGACAGATACAGTACTACTCGGGTAAGATGTCTGACATTTTCCTATTGTTTAAGGAGTTATCATGATATGCCACTCAGGACTTTGAAGTATACATTGAGTCTTACTTTTGTCTCTCAAATTTTTAACTTTATTGTTTTAATTATTTTTGTAATTTATTTTTAAATGGACTTATTTAGACCTGTCAATAGAGTGGATTTTGATTCAACTTTGAATCTATTTAATCAGATATGCATTAATATTTTAATCTGCCTACTCAAATCCGATTAAATTTCTTTAAAAGGATTTGGATTTGGATACATGTAAATCTGATCCGATATATATATAATTGAGAGACCTTATTGTATATGCATTCATACTTAGTTAGATTATTAATGATATTGACATGAAATTAAATAAAAAAACATTAAATTGAATGATTGATTGATTAAATTAAGTTGAAAGTTAACTTAAATTTGGTGAATTTATTAATTTTTTATGAAATTTTATTGAGATTCAAATTTTCAAATCGTATTGAGTAATCAGATCGAATAACCAAGTATGAATTAAGATTGTGTAGTGGAAGTAGTTTTGATTGATTATGATGATACTCTTGACAATGGACATGTTGTTTTTTAATATTTAATTTTATCAGTTGAGACTGAGACTTGCTGGTGGTACTTTGAGCTTGCGCAAAAGGAACAGCATAATTAAAGATATGAGAAAGGGAACTACTGCAATCGAAGATCCGGCAATAGTTGCAAATAAACAGAAGGAAAGACTAAATAATATCAGGAAAGGAGCGGATACTAGTGTAATAGTGGCTGCACTCATACTCACCGTAACTTTCACGGCCGGATTCACCATGCCTGGTGGTTACAATCAAAGTGGCGTTGAAAACCTAGTCCCTGGAATGGCAGTTCTCTCAAAAAGACTAGCTTTCCAAGCATTTGTCATCTCAGATGCTATAGCCCTACTATTCTCTTCAATAGCTATATTTCTCAACTTTTGGGCGGGCATGGCATCAAAACATAATAGTTGTGTGGAATCTAGCCATTGCCGCTGGAAATTTTGTTATTGTCGCCATTATAGCGATGATGGTTGCATTCAGTACAACGACTTATGTAGTGTTGGAACAATCACCAGCCCTTGCAGTCACCGCATGTGTTGTTGGTGTCCTATCTTTTCCCCTTTCTTTCTTATTGTTCCGAACACTAATTGGTATGCCGCACAAGTATTTTGACCTCCCACAATTATTTTCAACCAAATTATGGTGGTAGTTTATCGTTGTTTGAATGAAAATGATTTCAAATATGTGTGCTTCAAAATTTTTTTACTTTGAACAACATTTGTTTAAATCACGCTTTCACGCAACATGTATGATAAATTGAAAAAAAAACTAAAAATATTTGTTTAAATCACGCTTTCACGTAACATGTATGATAAACTGAAAAATAAACTAAAAACAATCATAAAGTGACAATACAAACTAAAAATCGACTATAATTACCGTAAAAAAAACTCTGCAAATGAGAATCACAAAAGAATAGTGATGTTGAACAGGTGATGATAATTTTGGTACTTTATTTGCGCTTGGTTAATGCCATTTTTTTTTGATCAAGTTAATGCCATTAAAGTTGGGAATTCTATAAGATTTTTGTTTTATTTCCTAATTTAATTATAAAATTATTTTATTTTATTTTCTAGTTGAGTTATGATTTTATTTTTTGGTTTCCTAATTTAGTTAGTATTCTAGTTTCCTAGCTAGTTGGTTTAGGGTTTCTACCACTATATAAACTTGTGTAAGCATAGGGCAAAATAGTTTTGGATGATAAATAATATTGAGAGAGTTTTCTCTTTTTTCTAATTTCTTATAATATTCTTAAAAATCAACAGATCAATTGAGATTTATGACTGATATTCTATGAGAGTCAACACTCCTAAAGTAGGATTCTAAACCGGAATTTGTGTGAAAATCAACGATTTAGTTTAATTCTATTTCTATATAATAAAGCATAAATGATTTCAAATTTCAAAAAACATAAAAATGACTTTTGCTTTCATAGTTCATATCATTTTAAATGAACGATTCAGATCGTCACCATCACAGGAATAGGCATACCATAGGCTAAAAATAATCACCCGACTTCTACGTAGGAGAAGTCTCAGAGTAGAATCTAGTCATTGAGCCCATGTTGGACTGTGTGTTGGGCTGAGAATCATCAATTTCTCCCTCCAAATTGACAAAAGAATGGACATGCATGTTATCTATTTTTTGTTGAAAAAGTCTTCCTTTAGTTTTGTTTAGAGCAATGCTCCATCGATGACAAGAGTTAAGATTTGTCCGTCTTTGTTCTGGCACTAGTTATTGAGATTTACTCCTCGACCAGGTTTGTTGACTTATCGGTGGGAAGAGTCATGATATCTTTGGTTGATATTATTGTCAAGCTTGTTAGATTTTTTACCTGAAAGATGAGAGGAAGAGAGTGTCCCACTGAACGTGTAAAAAATATGTAATTACAATTTTTTTGTGTAAAATAATACAAAAATAATGTCAAATTACAATCGTTCAATTTCTTTGAATTGATAAAAAATGGTGTTGACTCTTTTCGGTGTGTTTGTCATGCGTAAAATCCTCTGATTCTGATTGAATTTGACGATTACGAAAAAGCTATCAATCAGGGTTAAACGTTTTGCATCTCTTTTTGTATCAATAAATTAATACCTTGCTTCAATAGCTTTATGAAACACTGAATTACAAAGCTATATAATGATTGGCAAATTGTTACTTTTATTTATTCCTTTCTCTCTTTTTTTTTTTTTGGGTCTGACGAGCAACTTTTCTAAGGTATATCACATTGAACCTACCCTGTATTAGTTATATACCTCCAATTACCTGTTAATTACTAATAATGGTTAAATATGCATGAGAGACACCAAAATATGAGTCGAACTCAGAACGTCTGAATTTACGATTCGTCCTAAACTCCATCCACACTATTGGGCTTACCTCTCCATGTTATTCATTCCTTGCTTCAATTTCATGCAATCCTCTTTCTAAGTTGTTTTAGATTTTCATCACAAACTCCCTACTGCTTGGTCCCCACTGCTTTATTAAAGACCACATCTTTTTTCTTGGTTCCTAGTACTTTATTAAAGATATCTCCTCCTTTTCTTTATCTCTTGGAAAAGTAAAAGAGAAGGAAAGAAAGATGCTCAACAAGGTGCTGGGGTATTGCTGGATTAGCATGTCTGTTAATTGAGATGTTCTCCAGCTAAACATTGGTGTCAGTGTGTAGCCAAACATATAGATTTGTCTCTTTTTTCTTGCTACTCCTTCAAGACTTTCCCAAAGTACTAACAAATTAATGACATGTAAAACAAGTCCAAACAACAACGAAGAATGTGTAAATTAAGCCCTTAGAAATCACAAAAGCAACAACCTAACAACTAGTCAACTATATTACACCCACAAAATGTGAACACAAGAATGGCCGGATTTTGAATTTCTATGTCACTTTCTATGATCATTATCGCCTTTCAAGAAACTTAGCGATCTTCTCTAATATTGTTAATGTCGACAAGTTCACATAGATGGATGCACTTTTATGTGAAGTAGTTGGCTTGATTTTAAACATGTGTGTTGGTCTTAGATCTTACATTTCTTATTTAGATAAGCAGGAGGCCACACTACATTGGTTTGTATGTTTACGGATGCATGTGTTTTTATTTTTTATAACGAAAAAGACTACTCTAGGTTGAACATCTTGTATCCGTATTTATGTTCAAATCAATACCTTGTTTCAACAGCACAAAACCACAAAGCTCTTTAATTTGTCACAGTGGTACCATTTATTCATTCTTTGCTTCAACTACACATAATCCTTTCCTTCCTTTGTTGTTTAAGATTTTGTACCACGAATTCCATTACTGAATACTTAAACAGGAAAAAGTAAAAGCAAAATCCTCATATACCACTTCATGACACTTTTTAAGTAGAACTTGTTTTGCCTAAGCTTTTGTCAGTAAGAATGGTTGGATTTTGAATTTGTACGTCACTTTCTATGATTACTATCACCTTGCAAGAAATATAGCAACTTTCTCTTGGATTGGTATGCTTGGAGGAATAATTCCACATAATATGGTGATTGCGTGTTTAATAGGGAAATCACTGATAACGTGGGTATGTTTGGAGGAACAATTCTAGAGAGTATGGTGATTTCGTGTTTGGAAAGGAAACCACTGATCACGTGGGTCAAGTGCCTTTTCAGGCGCAATTCCTCTTGGAACTTTTGGCAACTAAGAAAAAGATATGGAAATAATGGCATTAGAGACTTTCTTGCACGAAGGTTTTGTCTTACTTTTAATTGGAGGCAACTTACATTTTCAAATGATGTGATTCAAGGGAGACTTCGGGAGTGTTTCTTTGGTGTTTTTGTCCCGTATTTTGTATTTTTATTTTTAATTTTTTGTCAAAAATTAAAAATAAAAATAAATTTGATAATTATTTTTATTTTTTGTTTCATATTAATTGTCTTGCAAACAAATTAAAAAAATAGGAAAAAAAAAATTGTGTTCAAAAAAACAAGAGAAACCCGTGTTTTTTTTTTTTTTTGGTTTAAATAAAGTCTCAACTTGGAATCTTATTAGTACAGAATACCACTTCACACGAGACTATAAATATGAGGTTTTTTTGTCTTTTGGCCCTCACAAAACACAGACAAAGCAGCCCCTCTCTTCTCTTCTCTGTCTCAGCACCTCTCTCTCTCTCTCTCCGGAGCTCTCTCAGCAGCTCTCTTCTCTTCTCTTCTCTCTGAGCAGCGAGTCTCTCTTCTCTTCTCTCTCTCAGCACCTCTCTCTCTCTCTTCTCCGGAGCTCTCTCTTCCACTCACAGATCGACGAAGAAGAAGAAGGCTCACCTCAAGGTCTTCTCTATCGAGCTCTCCCTCTCTGTGAAGGTAAGTGTAACTCCTTTACTTGTATATACATAGATCTGTATATATATGCATAGATCTCTATATATATATGCATAGATCTACATAGATCTCCATAGATCTGTTAAACTACCACTTGAATTGCTTAAAGCATCTGAATAAACAACTTGCTTGGATAGCCCTGTTGCGTTTCATAAGCTGAAGAGCCATCATTGAGATACTTGAAACTTTAACTGGGTGGGTTAGAGCTTAGACTTTAACTGGGTGGCCACAAAAGACGATAATTGCTGTTCTGCTTTAAAAAATAAAATAAAATAAATAAAGTGTTGGTTTTTGCATCTTTTTAGCTGAATCCTCATTGTTTGTTTTTTGAATGCCAGTGTTGTGATTGTCTGAGGGTTCAGCCAACTTTTCCTTTGAAGTCAGAGTTTTTTATGTTGTAATCTAATCATCTTTATTTAGGTGTTAGTAGATGTTTTGGTTCAAGTAATTTTTAGATTTGTATTTTGTTGTATGAGATATTATAAAGCATATTTAGGATAAAACGTGAAATAGTTATCAAACATGTTTTTTATTTTTATTCTCATAATTTGATACTCTCAAATATGTTTTTTGTTTCGGTGTTTTTTACAAAATAGAAATAAAAATTATCTTAATTTTTGATTTTTTTGAATTAGCGAAAACAAAAATATTTACCAAACGATACCTTCATTTCTTGGAACATCAAATAGAGAAAATCCTGTTGTTGGAGGGAAATTGAAAAGAAAGATTTTTTGCGTGAGATAAGGGTGATCCCGCAAGTATGGCAGCCTTTTTCTAATTTTCCTAGCTACATTGAGTGGTTGGTGGATAGGGATGGCAGTAGACCGGAGAAAAACGGGTATTCGTCCAAATCCGTTTCGTTTGGATCGGGGATGGACCATACGTATTAGACGGTGAATGTATAGGGGAATATCCATATAAATCTGTACGGGGATGATGGCAGAGATGGACTTACCCGCCCCCTCCCGGCCCGATGTACCCATTATATATGTTTGTGTAGAATGCATTTATTAAAGGATTGGTTATTTCATTATAATTTTATTTTTCCAAGAAAAAGGTTTTTCCTTGTAATGTTTTGTTATGGTAGGTTGGCATCATTGAGCAATTCAATAGTGAATTTCCCTTGAGCTTTTGAGTTTAAGTTGTTGTGTTGCGAGATGCCCCGGGCCAACGATATTCTCTTTAGATGAAGTAAAATGAGACTGCTGCGGATATTCGCCTGAGGGTTTAGTTGAAGTTCTGTCATATGAAAGTCATTGTTTTGAGTAGAGGTAGTAATGGTTTGAGTCAGGTTTGTTGAGCTATCAAGATACTTGTTGTCATCTGTTCACCACATGTATTAACTAATTGAATTCGGGAGCAAAAGTCTAATTTCTCAGAACCATATATATATATAATTTGTGCAAAAATTGTGGATTTTCACAATGGAAGAAATAATTTGTTGAGCTATCTTTATTGATATTAGGTGTGTAAGTTATATTTATGTGATGAATATACGAAAAAAAATATCAAAATTTTATATAACTGTAGCATGACTCGTGCAGCGTTTGTTGAAGCAATGCACATTTGTTATTTGTGTTATGTTAAAATATGTAATGCTACATTATGTTGTGTTAGATTATTTAGAATGTTGTTGGATTATGTTGACTTGGGCTTGGGCGGGTACGGGAGAAGCAGGGATGGGGATGGGGATTAAAAATTTACCCGCGGACGGGGATGAAAATGAAAACTATACCCATTAACGGCATTGAACCGGGAATAAACGGAGGTTTTTTAAGCAGGTATAGAGATGGAGACTACATTCCCCCCCCCCCCCCCTTTTAGTCCACTGATATCCCTATTTGTGAATATTTATTCTTGGATCCCATCAAGTTTGTTCCATCCGTATGCTTGGAATCCATGGGACCTACCACTTTGGAGATTGACAATAAAGAATGAAATCATAAAGAAGTTTCATGGGAATCTTTTAGTGGAAAAGTGGTCCATCCACTTGTCGGTGAAACCTAAATTCACGTGGATAGGTTGGACATGGACTCATTAGTTTATTTAAGGAGTGTGAAAACATTGAAAAGAAAAAGGTGGGCCATGTAGTAGGTGTATAACTTTTTTGAAACAATTATTTCCTTGCTTGTTTCATTCCAATAATTTTATTAGTTACTTTCTATCATTTAAAGAAGTTAGGTTTATGTCCTTCCCACTTTTTTATTTTGATTATTAATAAAATTTTACCCAAAAAAAATTATTTTAAGGTAGGAGTTATATATTTCATATACTTATGTATAGGTTCTATTTTAACCCACATTGAGGGGGGAACAAAGTTTTCAATATCTCATGTCTTCTTCAACTATTTTTGGTGTGTAAGTTAAATTATATTTTTAGGCAAAGAAAAGTGTAAAATTTCTATTTTTCAAGGTGTGTGTAGACTTAGAGAAATTATAGTGAGTAGTGGGTTGTTGTATCCTAGAGACTGCGTGTTGTAACTTATTACACAAGAGAACCTTTTTTGGAAAATCGATTTTTAAGGGCGACTTCCACCTTAGGTTCATAACATTTGTGTCAGAGTCACAAAACACGTTAAATATGGGATCGGACTTGGTATGGGCAGCAGTTCTACGTTTTTGGGCAAGGAATAACCTATAGATCATATTAAAGTTATTGACCCATTTAGTGGGGAAGGGTCACTTGGACGTCGAATGAGGTACCACCCTTATGCGAAGTTGGAAGTACAAAGCTGTTTAATTGATTGATGCTATAGTTGGCGAAGTGTTACCTTTACTTCATTCCTTGCTTCACTTACATCCAAACATTTTCTTCCCCTGTTGTGTTTGCTTTAACAAGAAAAAGTGAAAAGAGAATCATCAAATACGTACTATCTCAAAGCGTTCAATCTAAGTAATAAGAAATCCTTTACTTTCATTTCAAGTCATCTGTTAATTTCGGTGTACTCAACCTAATTAGCCTTTGGTGTACTCAACCTCATCCTTTTATGTATGTCTTGGTTGATTTGCCTTGTCCATTCAATTCTTTTTTGTAACATCGCTCCACGATTCCCAACAGATTGCTCCTTCATAGTAGTTCAACGGGCAAGATGGATCCTGCATTGCTACCGAATCCGGCAACATTGATGTTCTAATGCAAAACAAACACAAAACTGGGGTTGAAGTGACTCCAAACCAAAATACTGTTTTGCATATTACATCCCAATTAGGCAAAACAGAATGTGTGCAGGAGATCCTGTCAGTGCATCCATCGCTATTACGTCACGTGAATTCAAGTGGCGAGTTTGCACTTCACCTTGTAGCAAAGAATGGACACTATGACGTAGTTCTAAAACTCGTCAATTGTGCAACATCACTTGATGCATCAAAGCTTGAAGGTGGAGTTGGCGCAGTCAAGGAAATGCTAAGGTTGACAAAAGAGGATGGAGACACAGCCTTGCATGAAACTGTTTGATATAATCGGTTTGATGTGGTTGAGTTTTTAACAAAGAAAGATCTGGAGTATTTATATGTTGCCAATAATGATGGGGAAACTCCACTTTACGTTGCTACCAATGGGAGATTTCATGAGTTGGTGGAGGTGATCTTGAAAACATGTAAATCACCAGCTTATGGTGGCCCATGTGGTTCAGCAGCTTTGCACAGGACAGTAATCTCCAAGAACGAAGGTACATAGGATTCCGTGATTATTATTAATTTTTTTAGCGATGTGTATACGGGGATGGGGATAATGATGTTCGAACTTGCGACCATTAAATCCAACGATGGGATGGTGGCTATTAGTTTCAACTACAAGCTACTAATTTAATTTCTTTATTAAAAAAAATTAGATTAATTTTGATTTTTTTTTCTTTCTATGACATTTTGCTAACATGTGTATTATTTTATCTTTACTCTCATCACCTTCTCCAGCGGTTATAAGAAAATTAGTGGATTGGAACAAATCTCTAGTTAAGAAAACAAATGAAAATGGGCAAACTCCACTTCATTATGCAGCATGGCTTGTCTGGAGAGAGAAGCAAATTATTGCATCCCAGCTATTAGATGAGGATAATTCTGTCGCACATGTTATAGATAATGACAAGAATACAGGTCTTCACCAAACAGTTATGACAGGTAATAAGTATATATTTGAAGAAGTCAAATTACACACTCCTAATTGTTGGGAAATTGTGAATGGTAAAAGACAAAAATATACTACATTGCATTGGAGCATGGTAGGAAGGACACAACTGAATACATCCTAAAAAACAACAGTGGAATCAACACTCTTAGAACGCAAAAGACGTTGATGGCAACACACATCTCCATTTGATGGCTGCTTCTAACTGCTTTGTGCCTGGAATCATACATCATGATATGGTGGCTAAGAACGCCTTAAACAAGAAAAACTTGGACTCTGTTGGACATGGTACTTAATGATGGCAGTGATGCAGAGGTAAGGATGCTTTACTTTTTTCTTATTATAAATGTTTAAGGAGTAAGCAAGCATGACCTGCCATTATAAGACTAAAAAGAATTAGGGTAAATTCATGTCGTCGCACTTTGAAGTATGCATTCAGGCTCACTTTTGTCACTGAATTTTTTGATTTTATCATTATACTTCTTAAAATTTTTAAACCGTTTTAAATAGTCCTATTGCTCAATTTTATCAAAATAATTCTTTTTAAAAATTTAAAGAACTAAAATCACATAATTGGAAGTTAAGAGACCAAAATCAATACATTGAAAAATGCTACTTAGACCTAATCTCGGGACCTAATTCACAACTAATCAAATGGTTCTAAAATTGGATTGAAAGTGAGTTTCATCTAACTTTAGAACTCACAACTAAACATGGCTACATTAAATTAAGTCCCTAATTAGGTCCCCAAATACAGTCTATATGATCCAAATAAAAAAAGGACTATTTAATCATTAATGATTGAGGGATTATGGTATATCATTTTGCTACAACTGCATAGATATCCTCCCTCAACATTGTGGTTCTAGCCCTCTTTCTTAATTTTCATGGGACAAGAATGTCCCATGACTCCCATCTATATTGACCCACTTTAATATACTAGAAAGGTACTTAGGTCTTTTTTTTTTTTTTTAATTTTGATAAGAAATGGTATATAATTCATTTGATTCATAACAACCTTACATCATTATAGAGGAAAAGTAATAAAAAAAATTTGGTGCTTTGTCCCGCCAAATATATAAATCATCACAATTGATGTGTTTGTTTTTTGTGTAATATGTAAATCTATCAGGACGCACTCATAAACGTAGGTGCTACATGAAGTTGGCAGAAAGAAATGAGCAGAAGTCGAGACGAGAGAAAGATAACCATCAGAAAGGAAAATCGAAAAGCTGCAAAGAAGGAAGCATTAGTGATGTTAAAGAAAACATCTGACACCAATATGATAGTTGTTGCACTTATAGTCACCGTAACGTTCGCGACCGGATTCACCATGCCAGGTGGCTATAACCAAAGTGGCACTACAAACCCAGTCCCAAGAATGACTGTTCTATCACGAAGATCAGTTTTTCAAGCATTTATGATATTAGATGTTATAACCCTTCTACTCTCTTGTGTAGCTATATTTTTCAACTTTTGGGGGACATTATTTGATGACCGAAGAATTGTCCAAAAGTTTGTCATTGTCACAATATTTTTGGTTACTGCAGCCATTGGAGCGATGATGATTGCATTCAGTTCTGCAACTTATGTAGTTTTGGAAAAATCATCTGCCCTTGCAATTGCCACATGTCTTGTTGGTGTCGTATCTATCCCCATTTCCTTTGTATTGTGCTTTAGACTTGGTCCTAGGTAGTAAATTCTTGTTGGACCTCAGGCAAGTGCTTTTTTTTTTTTTACCATAATATGGTCTTTTTTTTATATTTATTACTATTTTTAAATCTTTTTTTTTTTTAATTTTTTGTTGTTTGTCAGAAATATGGTTTTAATTACATTTTTTTTTTTACATAGAAGACATATATACTTGTAGAGGTTCCAAAATCAATCAAAATATGTGAATGTCTGTTGAGTTTGTTCAAGTTAGTGATCGTGTATAAATATTCTGGACATAATATTAGTTTCTAATATATTATAAGAATGTACAACTATTTTGTATTTTGAGAACTCTTATTGCCCTATCCAAATTGTTGGAAAATTTTCAATGGCAAAAGACAAGATATACTGCGCCACTAATGTTACTTTGCTAGCCTTGATTCCTAAGAAAGTTAATCCCAGATCCTTCTCTGAATTTAGACCTATCAGTTTATATAATTTCCTTTACAAAATTTTCACGAAGTTATTATCTTCTAGACTGGCCAATATTTTGCCTGAGTTGATCTCTGTGGAGCAACATGGGTTTGTTAGTGGTAGAAATGGGGGTGAATGTGTGTCTATTGCTCAGCTGATGGTCAGTGACTTGAATAGGAAAGTGGAAGGTGGTAATTTGATTCTGAAATTAGATATGATGAAGGCATATGATCGCCTTGAATGAGATTTTTTGTTGAAAGCTTTGGCTAGTTTTGGTTTTTCCCCTCTTTTTTGTAAAATTGTGGCTAATTGCTTGGGAAACCAATTTTTTTCTGTTTGTGTCAACGGAGTAAGGAGGGGTTTTTTCTCATCCTCTAGGGGTTTAAGACGGGGAGATCCTATTTCTCTTTGTCTTTTTATTCTTGCAGAAGAGGTCCTCAATAAGGGGTTGAGAAAGATTTTTTAGGATGGTTTGGTCAAGCATTTTCATATGGGGAGAGGTACTACGCTGCTGAGTCATTTATTGTTTGCTGATGATACTTTAATTTTTTAAGGGGTGATAAGAGATCTGTGAATAATCTTTTGGTTGTTTTGAAAGAATATGATAGATCTTTTGGGCAGAGGATTAGCTTGCAGAAAAGTTCTATGTTTTGCTCTAAATGGATCTCGGCTGCAAGGAAATGTTCTTTATCTACTATGGTTACTATTCCAGTTAAGAGCTGTCCTTTTAATTATCTGGGATGCCCAGTTTTTCAAGGTAGAATTAGAGTTTGATACTTTGAGGGGTTGTTGTTGCAGTTTAGACAAAAGCTAGAGGGTTGGTACACTAAGCTTTTGTCGTATGGGTAGGGTGTTGATGGTGCATTATGTGTTATGTGTTGTGTCAGTGCATTTGATTGCTTGTTTGAACTTGCCTAAGATTGTAATTTCCAAGCTAAATTCATTAATGGCTGGTTTTGTATGGTCAAACAAATTGGATGTGAGAAGACGACATTGGGTGGCTTGGGGTAAGATTACTAAACCCAAGGTGGAGGATGGTTTGGGTCTGCAGAATTTTGAAGAGGTCCACGTTGTGTTCCGAATGAAGCAGGTTTGGAATATTTCAAGGGGCACATCTTTGTGGGCAAAGATTTTTTTCTTCTAAATTTTTAAGGGGAAAGCATATAATGAGGTGCTTGGGAAAGAGGCATTCAATGTGTTTTGAGGCTTTAAGACCTTATTTTGAGAAAGTGGTGAATTACTCCAGAATACTGGTTGAGGATGGTATGAGTTGTGATTTTTGGTGTGATAATTGGTCAGGGAAGGGTGTTTTGTTGAGTAGGATTGGGGTTCTACCTCAACATATTCCAAGTGTGCATGAGTTAATAGTGAATTCTCAATGGCAGCTGGATGGTTTTGGGGATTTGTTGACTTATCAGTTGAGGGCTGAGGTGGTGAATTCTGGTACTGTTCTGTCAGATCTGTGGGATAAATTAATTTGGCAGGGGACTAGTTCTGGAGATTTTTGTATTAAAACAGCTTGCCATTTGATTAGTAGTAAGGGAGTGGTTAATGATATGGCTGGGATTATTTGGAAAATTGTTATTGCTCCTAGTGCTCAACTTGTTGGATGGAAGCTGTTAAGAAGTGTTTTGCCTATTGAGTCCAACTTCATGAGGATAGGGGTTTCATTGGCTAGCAGGTGTAGTTTGTGCTTTCATGATGCGGAAACTGTTGAGCATATTTTCATTGAATGTGATTATGCTAAGGTTATTTGGGATAAGTTCTGTGGCAGGAGGTTTCCAACTTCTGAGGAATGAGAGTCCTTTGGTGAGGTTGAGAAGATTATGTAGAATTTTTAAAAGGCAATCTTTGAGCCATTGCTTGGTTAGAAGTTTGTCCTTATTAATTTTTGGGCAAATCTGGAAGGAGAGTTGCTGGGGAGGGTAAGCTACATTCCTATTCTATTTTTGTGAAAGTTTGAAGTATTCTCAGATATTAGGCTAAAAATATCAGACCCAGAAGACAAGATGATTTCTCTGGGAAGCTTTTCCTGCAGTTTTTGAGAATTGGGTCTTCTTGCAAGGTAATGAATAAAATGATTTGGGTTAGATGGGAAATGCCTTCTGCTGGATGCTTGAAGCTGAACACTGATGGAGCCTCCAGGAATAATTCTGGAATTGCAGGAGGGGGAGTTGTGTTGAGAAATGAATGGGGTAGGATGGTATTGGCAGCATGTTTCTTTTATGGAGAGTTTTTAAACATGGTTGCTGAGTTTAGAGCTCTTTTGGATGGTTTGTTATTGATTAAGAAACATGGCTTGTTTGACTGTAAATTGGTGATTGAATGTGATTCCCAGGTGTTGGTGAATGTAGTTTTGGGATTATTGGATTGTCCATGGTCTTCTTTATGTTTGCTGAATGAGATTAAGAGTTTGTTGAGAGGTGTGGAACTTCAGCTGTATCACATTTTCAGAGAGGCTAACAATGTTGCGGATAGGCTTGCAAATCAGGCAGTGCAGAGCAGAAGTTCTTATGATTATTCTGAAGGTCTGGAATTGCCTTTTGAGGTGAAATTGGCGTTAAGTAGGGATGTGGGAGGGCTGCATTTGCCTAGAAAAAAAAGGATGTTGGTTTTTGATGATACGGGTTAATTTAATTTGGTTGTTATTTGACTGATGCAATGTGCCGGGCTTGTTCTGGATTGGTTGGAAAGGGGAGCAGTACAAAAGGATCTTGGACTTAGTTTGTTTTTAGTGAGTATGAATGTCGTCTTTGTTTTGTTTGGCTGGAACTTGTGTTTTGTTATGAAAAGGTGGTCTGTGCCTTTTCTTTTTGTTTTGTTTTGAAAAGGTCGTCTGTGCCTTTTTTTTGTTCGCTTCTTGTAATGGTTTGCTTTATGAATAAATAAAATTTTAATTTTCTTAAAAAAAATAATGCATTGTGACCATTGAAATGATAATAAAATACATCAATACTAGGTCCTGCTTCAATGGCCACAATCATTAAATTCTCAAATTATGTCTCAAATCCCTATAATATTGCTCATACTTCACACATTGCAGCATGATGGTAATGCCAATTGAGTTTGTTCAAGTTAGTACTCATGTATAAATATCCTAGACAAAAAAATTGTAATATAATTCACTAAGGCATAATTTGAAGACTAAATACATTATCACCGTTGAATTGATAGTGAAGTGCATTCAATATTGAGACTTAGACAATAAGAACCACCAAAGGACAAAAGAAATATAATCTTAGCATGTGTACTTTGCATTTGTGAGTTTGTAAAGAACCAAGAAATATAATCTTCAGTTAACAGCAAACACCATTTCTAGAATTCTTTAAGAAAGGGCATCCACCTTTTTTTGTAAAGAAAATGGGCTTCAACTACTAATCGAAAAGGTTCACAAAGAGTTTAGTCACAAAACAACAATGAGGGCAGAAATTTACTCCATAATGTAGCAACTAGCTAGCTTTCATACAGTTGAAGACTACGCACAATGAGACATCAAATGTTTACACAAAATGTCGTACATTAAAGCATAAGAACCACCGAACAGCCGAAGATGAAGGCAACATTTTAAGAAACGGGCCCAAGAAAATCCCCCTCCAAGCTAACAACTGCTTGGAATTCCCTCTGAGCCTCTATATACTTCTCCCCAATCACAATGAAGCGCACCACCACATCTTTCTCAATTTTCGGCATCTTTTCATTCATGAAGATGGGATTTTCCCCAGGCACATATTCATATCCCGGCATTTTCTTATTGGAGAGATAAATGTTCTCGATAGGCCCACATCTCAAGAAAACTCCGTGCTTCAAAATCTTGTGAACGACTCCCTCTAAGATTTCTCCCCTGTAAATCCTGAAGGTGATGCAACTGAAGACAACAGGAAAGAGTACATCCCCTGAGTTTTGTCTAACCTTCCCTTCCCCAATGCTCTCTAATGTTGTCACCGCAAGAAAATAACCAAGATCTTTCGTGGCCTTCTTAATAGAGAACTCATCCATCAGACGAATGATGATTGCCCTTTGAAGCATCAACCCTTTAGCATCCAAGTTTTCAGCAGGAATTATGATATTCCATGGCAACTGTACTTTGAGAAACATTTTCCACAATTCCCACCTGCCATATTGACCAAAATTATTGCAGTAACCATTTATCAAAAACAGGTGACAAGAAATGTAATCTAATTATTCGCACAACAGTAGAAGCAATTGTCATTCCAAATACACAAAATAATATAAACCAGGTGATAAAAAGATGCATTCCTAATTAGTCCCACAACAGTGGAAACAATTCCAAATTAAATATTAACTAAATAAGCACCAGTGACCAGATATTACAAACACCAAAAAAGAAGAATGGCGCTCAAAGAGAAGGAGAAGGAGAAAGACAAAGAGAATAAAAAATAGGAAGAAAAAAAAACCAGAATGGCACCCCAAGTCCAAATTATTTTTCAGTTTCAAGAAAAAAGAAGGATGAGAGGGAAGTGAGAGAGAGAAAAGCAAACAGGGAAAAAAAAAAAAAAAGAACAGCCCCAAGAACCACATTTATTATTGACTTGATTCTTAAAATTCCTCACTCTCTTCCTATGACAAAACAAAAAATAGTTGTGATAAGTATGTTAAAACAATTCATAATCCATAGACAATGACAATGACAACTGTTTGAAACTTGTATTGCATCAACCTCACTATCAAGTGTACATCAATTATATACAACTATGTCCATATCATCAGCACATAAACTCCCAATATATAAAGTGATCATATAACACATAGGATCTCATTTTATTAAAAATTGATAATCAGAGTGAGGCGCACTACGACAAACTAGATTCTGCTTATCCTACTGATGATGATGGCAGAAATGTTGATCCATTATCTAAAACCCTATTCTCTTTACCAAAATAGCAGCTTTAATCTTACTCTTAACACACACAGGAACAATCATGATCACATATCAATACACTTAAAAAGGCGTACAGTATTTAGGACTACTGCATAGTCAGCTTCCAGATATTCTGTTTTCAACATATAGACGAGGCTATATATATAATCAATTATCTATTTTCAGTTTTGTATTCGTGCTGCAAAACTAGAATGCCACAAAAACTATAGATGCAAAGGTATAGAACGAACAAACATCTTTACTAATCTTATAAACTAGAAGTACACAAACATATCTCAACAAAAAAAAAGTCACATATTCCCAAACCATAAGAAATCTAACAAATTTACAAAGAAAAAAAGAAACACATAAATAGAAAAGCAAACAGAATAAAGCAAAAGGAAGTATGCAACAGGATTCTAATTTCTATGATCTCTGTAAATTTTGTTGATAAGAACAACCAAATAAACAAATTCCAATAGCATGCTGTACTCACAACACCCACAAATTAAACCCAAAAATCCAGCTCCTCCAAACTGCCTCAAAACCCCCCCATTCAGTCAACCAAAACAAATCCCATCAAGGGTTTCCTCAAACAATATTCATAACAATCCAAAGCCCTCAAAGTAGTAGTAACCCCTAAACCCAAGAAACGTAAATACTCATCAGTGAGACAGAATACAAAAATTTCTCTAACACATCATCACAAAAAAGAACCAAAAATAAAATAGCACCAAAGAAAACCCTATTAATCAACACAAAGGAGACCCGAAATCGAAACCCATATTCAAGACGCAAAAGAAAACAGAGCAAAAATCTAATTTTTCACTTTTAGGTAGTGCCAAAAAAACACTCTATTGCTCCAAGTTATTAAAACCCAGAACCCAAATTCAAGAAACAAACAACAAAAACACAGGAAAGTCCTAAATTTCTTCGTTATCGAACCAATGTAGGTTAGAAAATAAATAAGAAAATGCATGAAACAGATAGAGAGAAATCACAGAGTTTGGTGCGCAAACCCGTTACCAGAAGAATCGTCCTATTGGGCTGTATGCAACGAGAAGAAGAATAGCCTTAGACGTTCTTCTTTTGTGCTTCTCCAGCTGCGAGTGAATCCAATGGACGAACAACTCTTCCGTTTGTAATGACTCAACTCATGCCTTCGGCATGAGGGCTTTTTGGCCCTTTCAATTTCTCAAAAATCAAGAAATCAATTTTTACTGTTTTTTAAAAGTGATAATAGTGGCAATACTTAATAGAAAGGATTGATTACACCTACGGCTCCTAATGTATGTATTTATTTCAAAAAAAAAAAAAACTTCTAATATTTTGTATTTTAAATAATATTTTAATTATGTAATTTAAAATTAAAATAAATAGATGTAGATGTAGATGTAGATTGATAGAATTGTTTGATATTGAGGAGTGTATTAATTAAATTATAGCATTGGAGTGTCGTGTAGAGAAGTTGATATTTTTTGGTAAAAAAAAAATTAGAATAAATTTATACCATTATATCAAAATAATGAAAATTGAATCAATCTTAACTGTTATTGTTCTTTTATAAATTGAGAATTTAACTTTCTAATTGTAATATAATATATATATATATATATATATATATATATATATATATATATATAGCTAATTTGTATAGTGTTTAAGAGAGTTGGTATCAAATCTTTTACTTAATGAATTTAACGGGGGTTCACTTATTTTTCACTCTAATTCGTTAAGCCTAAAATAGTCTCATTAATACAAATTGTGCAAAGTTCATAGATAATATCTCGAATTATTATATTTAACTTTAGTACGAATAGCAAAAAAATGTATAATAAAATATGATGTCTATAGAATTTTCATTTAATTAATGTACTTAAAAATTGATGTGGCTTAATGACTTTTTGATCGCCATTAATATTGGCACGTTACATTGTTTTTTTTTCGAGAATTTACCCAGAATCATTAATTATTAGATCTAATACCACTCATTGGATGAAAGAAAGTCCGGTGAAACCCAACATACACTGTTTGAAATTCATATCCCTTAAAGCCTCAAGTCCTTAAAGTAATGAGTTCATCAATAGTTTATTAGAATATTTTAACTTATTTTTTTATTTGATGCAAATATTCCCACACACATACAAAACCATGGGTATTTTTGTGTCATTACATGAAAAATCTTAACATCAATCTATAATCAACATAATAAAAAAAAACCATGTAATCTGAAGATGAAGCACAAAGTAATAGGCTATCAAACTTCATCTCTATTGAACAGGGGAATTGAAATCTTTGTACCTGTATATTACATCAGGCTTTTAAAATTTTTTTTAAAAAATCATGTAATTAAAATTTCAATACACTAAATATCATATTTTCAACAAGCAAGCACAACAATGCCATAATCATCCCATATATAAAATCTTCTACAACCCCAGTTCATCAGATCCTGGCAATGAAATTGGTCCGAGGCGATCGCCTTCCAAAGTGGCAAGAATCATGAATTCCCTTTCGACTTGCTGGTTTTTCGTTGTCCATCTCACACCAAACACCATGAAACGGATCACCACATCATTCTCGATTCTGGACAGATCGTCGCTTATGAAATATGGATTTTTCCCATCAACGTAGTAGTAATTTGGCATCTTTCGAGCTGAGAGATAAACGTATTTCATGGGCCCACATTTCAGGAAGACTCCTCGTCTATGTATCGATTGCACTACACCAAGCATGACCTCTCCATTCACAGGTAGGAAGGTGCGACAGCAGAAGGTTACTAGGAAGAGTAGATACTTATCAGAGTCGTTGAACTTTCCATTGTCTATGCTCTTCAAGTTGGTTACTGCAAGAAAGTAACCACACTCTTCTGCAGCCTTGCAATTCAACAGTTGCTTCAAAAGGCATGTTACGATTGTACTCTGGGGGACTAGTCCACTTCTGTCCAGGCTTTTGGCAGGGATCACTACAGGGTAGCAACATTCAACTTCACACAGCATATTTGATACCTACATCAAAATGATCAAACAAATCACAGAATAAGAAATGTAACAAGTTTTAATCACGACTCATAAACCAGACCACTAAATAAGACACATACAAACCAAAATGCAATAGATCCCTGCTATTGTGCCTACACATGTGGACTCCTCTCAATAGTTCAACACGAAAACAGGTAAGGTACTGCTCTCGACAATAACCCATTTTGAAATTTGCAAATCAGATCTCAATGACATAAATAGTCTATATGGGAAGTTAAAAAGGCTGGTAAAAAAAACAGCATTCGGTTATAAGTGGCTACTAGTGTCTCCCTCGCTCACTCATAGTTACCCCCTTTCCCTTCTCCAGATGAAAATAAATAATATAACTACAGAAATAAAGAACAATTAACCTGGAACTACAGAACAACCTGAGTTTTGACAGGCCCTGCAAATGCTAACCTACCTTTAATATGTTCATCATCGATGTGTACCTTTACTATGCTCATCATCGATGTGTATACTTGAGGAATCTAATATATGAATTGGAATATATATGTTAACCCAGGTGTTGTGGTGCTCAAACTTGAAACAACAATGATGTGTGTCCTCTTATTAGTGAAGTTATGTCAAAGATACTTTCCTTCCACCTCAAGTGAGAAGAATAAAATAGATCCCCATGAAAGAGGACACTCAAGTTAGACCATTTCAAGTAACTCGATCAAATGTGGCCTCCAGATTTATGCGCATATAAGTGTGAACCCTATCTTCAATAATTTGCATATGCTTCATTCATTTAGAGAAAAACCAAACATGCTTCAGTCACTCCCAGCAGCATTCACAACGACAGATAATAAAAAAACCATTCCAGTGCCCTATGAGAGGATCTTCATATTATCACGCATCCCTTATTCAAAGATTGAAGAAAACACCACATTAATTTGCCTACACAATTGAGTTGCTTATGAATTGTTTAGAGTTTGAGAAACAAACCTGGAGGGTGGAATGAACCTTAAATAAGCCGGCACTATGACCACACTCCTATTTATCCCTTAAAGCACTTGCAGATTTAGCCTACTTAGGACACTTGTGACAATAGTGCACACCCACTCAGTAGGAGAACTATTGAAACTTTTGAACAAAGAGATAGCTCACAACCTAGCATCCCCTAATCACTTCATCACATTTGCTGTGTATTGATAACAGAATATGCAGTGCAGAAGAAGCGATGGGTAAAAACCAACAAAGGAGAGCTACCCTAAGTGGTCCCCTATATCTATCTTATAACAGGAAATCAGAAAGTAAATCACATATTTTCCCTCTTATACATGATATAACTCTCAAATCTCCCCTGCCCAACAGCTTCTTACACGACTGATAATGACGACGACTCCAAATCTTTTGCAAACATGTTAGTTAACTTCAAATTTCACATGTTGCAATTTTATTTTCTTCTCATTACCATAGTTTCGCCCAAAAAACGTTAAGTTCTAAGATGGTATAATGGATTGAAAGCAATGTACACAACATCTTTATGACCAAGTGTTCAGAGCATCCAATCACCTGGAAAGGTGATTTAAGCCAAATTGTCACAAAAGCTATCTAACTTGCAGTTATATACTCAAGAGTTCACACTGTTTGAAGGGAAGAATAAGCACAAATGGAATTCAGACATAGAAACTTTTGCCGCTACTTATGAAGGATCTCAATGTCACGTCACTGGATGATAATGATTAAGCTCATCAAATGCTCCTTGAAGCCACCACAAAATATCAACAGATGACTTATCTTCTTTATAAAGCAACAAATATTCTACAAATCCCTAGACCTTACAAATTTTATCCAAATATCCTTGCCAATGTTTGAGAACATGGCATTGAACCTAATAACTGCACAGCATCACACCAAAGTAATGTTATCTGGAATGCAAATTGCTCTGATATGTGGAATAGGAATGGAAGCAACTGAAATGGGAACGTGGTTTGCCACCTCTTATATAGATCGCATAGAATGCTTTCAGCTATACATAACTACAATATTTGCTTTCTTTCAAGAATAGATGACTAATGCAATTAAATTAAGCAAAGCCACAAATGCAAGTTGTATGGTCCCTTTCTCCATCTTCGTCTGAAAAGCTATGTCTTGTTAGATACCAGTTCATTTTCTTTCATGTTTCTTTCCGCAAATTATTCCATAAATGCTAGTGAAAGGAAATAGAAAATGGTCAGGATCCCAATTATAGAGAACCAACATGAAATTATGAATACATGTATGAGAAGTAAACTCAGTTTAAACTCAGCTTGATGCCAACTGAATCAACTTAAACAGAGCACACCTTTACACCATTCTTGCTGGATCCTTCCCATTTAAAGTTTAAATAACAACCACTATCATGACAACATGGACACGGGACGTAGCAGACATTACATTGAACTACGATCCCAAAATGAAAGTGACTATTAGGTAACTCATCCCATTCTTGGAGCCAACAAATTGTACAAAGTTTCTCACTTCACAAGAGTGGGGACTTTGTCTGGGCGAGGTTTGAGAGAGTTCTCACTAATCCGGCTTGGGCTGATGTTTTATCCTAGTCTTACCACGCTCAACTTCAGATCATTCTCCTATGCTTATCCAGATTGACGAAGGTGTGTCTTTTCATTCATTTTCATTCAAATGTCAGAACATGTTAAACACCTCGACTTCTTACAAATTTCAGAGTATTTGTGGAATTTGCCTACTTGGGGTTCAAACCAACAAAACCCTGAACTTTCAGCATCACATAAACGCTACAATAATAAATTCTGCTTCGAATGAAAGATACAGAGCCTCTGTATCACAGGTATAAAGATGGGAACTATATCACACTTTGAAATACAAATTAACACATGAAGCAGAGCTAAAAACATGTAAAACCAAAAAACAAAAGCAAAAGCAAAATCAAAAATTAGATCTTGGAACGAAAATGGTATAAGAACTTACCTGGGAGGAAGAAAACCCTTGAATCACCTACTGTGTTAGAATAAAACCCTTGAACCAGTTACAGGGGTTTTGAGCAATTGCCTCTCCAATCGGACCAAACGGAGAGAGAGAGAGAGAGAGAGTGTGTTTTCAGAACGGTTCAATAGGTGGAACCACAGCAATTCCGATTCGAAATCTTTAAAGGGCACACCAAACTCGATCCAATTTGATTGGATTCAGATGAAATTTATTTTCATAGTTTATATTTTAATTTGTTAAAATTTAAAATTTAATCTAAAAATTCGATGTAATTCAAATTATTCAGTTACACGTTAATATGATGATAACATCTCATATTTTAATTTCAATTTAGATCTGAACCGTGCCCTACCCAGCAGACTCTTGATCCAGATACGTGCGAAGTGCAAACCATCCTCTAAATAAGTAAGAGTTTTAAAATATTACAAGATTAATTAATAAAATTAAAAATTTACAAATTTTGAGTGTTATAAAATTAAAAATTTTGAATGTTATTTAAAATACTCATTTTGTAAATTAGTGGACCTTATACAATATAATTAATAAATGAATCGAATATTGTAATGTCAATTAAAAGAAATATACGATACAATCGTTTATATAATGGTTATACATGATTCATACACAACACAAATTCAATATAACACAATTCGTTAGCCATAAATTAATAAAAAAATCACATAAAAAAAATATTTTTTAACATAGACTCACTAAAATTTGACACAAACCCGATTCACCATTACTGCTGGAAATCAAAACCTTGCCACCACTTTCAAACTTGCATTGAATGCTTCAACATGGCTACACCAAGCCCGACATTCATTTTCATTTGAGTTAAATATCTAGTCCTTTAATAAACCGACACTCTTTTATCGTATTTTCGATAATATATTATATTTGAATTAATCTAATAGTTATTTATTCTCTTTGTCTGCTTTAATAAGCTATCAACATTTAGTGACTTATCACTATATTTATTATCAATATATTTATATATAATCCTAAGAAATTTTATGTTTAATTTATAAATAAATTTTTTTATAACTTGAACTAAGTTCTCTTGATAGTTGTTACCTTAATTAGCTAGTCCCATTAGCCAAGTAGAGTGAAGCCGACTAATTTTAGTGGAGATGGGTCCTACCAAAATGGAACTATTTGAACTGTCCAAACTTTTTATAATATGTTTGGTACGAAGAAAAATGAATCGAAGAAAAAAGGATAAATGAAAAATATGAGAGAAAGTAATATTTTTCTTTGTTTGGTTGAAGAAGAAAAATGGAGCGGAAAGAAAAGAGGATTGAAAGTCTATACGCCCAGCAAGTTTACACGGTTCAATCAGCCCAAATTTGGGAGGAAAAGTGGAGAGTGAAGGTGGACATAATGATTGTATTTGTTAAATTATTTTTTTGCCCTCCAATTAACTGTTGGTTTTACTCTTTTGAAAAAATAGAAAACATGTGACCTTCATCTCTTTTTACTTCTTTCACCGGACAAAAATAAAATAAAATAATGTGGGGTCTATATTTCAAAGGGCATTTATGATATTTAATATATCATTTATTTTTCATTTTAAATAAACTAATAAAAAAATTATCTATCTTATTTTTTTATCCTACTTACCAAACAAGAGTGAAGGAAAATATTTTTTTTTTCTCTAAAAATAAAAATTCAATCTCTTATATTTTTAATTCCTCTTATTTTTTATTATTCTTACCGAACATATGGAAAGTGACTTCTAACCTAAACATCTACACACGCACAGGTATCCATATTTACGCTATTTTACTCGGAGAGAAAACTCGTGTGGACCAAGAAAAACCAAAGACATTTGACCACATGTTAAATGTGAGTTTCATGTTTAACGTTATTATAACCATTATAACTGGAATTTGAAATTCCTGGGAACACAGAGGAAGCAAGAGAAGAACGTACATATGGATCAGTTCTTTCAATACGACACTTATGGCGACATGTGGTGTTTCGACGGGGCATTTCCGGTGAATCGAAGTGCTTTTTCTGGGTACACGGACCAGCCCGTTGATGGATTTCCGGCGAAGGGCGATGATGCCGGAACGAATCGTCGGAATGTGAACAAGAGGATGATTGATTTCTTGAGAAGAAATTGGACGCCGGTGTTGGAAACGAAAGGAAATGAGAGGGAAAGAGGATATAGACACATGATGGACGAAAGGCTAAGGAGGGAGAAACAGAAGCAAAGTTACTTAGCGTTGCTTTCAATGTTGCCTCCTGGAACTAAGGTCAGTTTGTCTGGCCACTTCTTTTTCAATCTTTGTGACTCATCTGTGCACCCAATGATGGGTTTAGTTGGGTGGATAGGTGTAGGGGAGACAACGAGCTGCTTGATTAAAAGCACGAGATACAAAAATAGGAGTGACCGTCGAGTACTGCCGATAGTCGAACCAGTTCAAATTAATCCTAAAATGATTGTTTTCTTAACCAAGTTTGAGCTAATTCAAAATAAATGGAGTCCAAGTATTTGCATAAAGAAATTGAATAGTTTGAGTTTGAAAATCGTTTTTCAAAGAAGTCTAAAAAATTGTTCAAGTTCGATTCGTTTAAAAATCTAAGTGAGTCGAGCTTGAACAAGTTAAAAATAAAAAAAAATTAACTCGAGCAAAACTCGAATAGCTCGATTTGATTGACAGTTATACCATTGAGTCATGTTGTTACTAGTTAATTTTGACTTGATCAATTTAAATGTCATGTCTATAACCCATTTTGTTTACTATCATGTAATGGTCTAGTTCAACCCCATCAACATAGGACCAAGATCTCCTTTTCTCTCAACAAAATCTATTAGTTCCCAAAAACTAAAATTGAACTCAATTCATAAACTAAAATGAGATTTCTATGTTTTGACGCGGATCAGACTCATTAGTCGTGTAAGTGTTAATTATCTTATTGTAGAGTTTGTGTCAATAATTAGCTAGCATCGAACGCTAATTTAATGTCACGTAAACGTTAATGAATTGCGCCAAAAATTACTACACTCGTCCAATGATATAAAAAATCCAGTGTTTTTATGTTTTGCTAGCACTATTATGAGCTATAAATCTTGTCAAACTATCTGGTGCTCCCATGCCTATTATTTTTGGATGAATCCCTGCTTCATCATGCTTTGGTGTCTCATCAACTGTTTTGTGATTGTGATTGTGATTGCAGAGTGATAAAAACTCAATTATTCAAATGACAGCTAAAGAAATTGAAGAGCTTCAAAGATACAAGGAAGAGTTGGAGACAAGGAACACTGAGCTTGAAGCAGTTTTGGATGATCATCAGAGAGAAAGTAGGGAAGTAGAGAAAGCTAAGATCAAATTAAGGGTTACTTATCCTTCATGTGGGATTTACTCTGTGTTGGAGGTTCTTAAATGCTTGAAAAATATTGGGTCTAAAACCACAGCAATCCAATCAAAATTTTCTTCAGAGGAGTTATTAGCTGTACTTGATATTGAAACCAAGGTGTGTGAAACTCTCTCTCTCTCTCTCTATGTATATACACACGTTTAGGGTTGATAATTGAACCGAGTTATTCATGTTCGGCTTGGGCTCGATTCAAGTTCCGCTTGTGTTCTAAACTAGTTGAACTTAAATAATATTTTAGGTTCGTTTAAAGGCTCGGCTCATTTATACGTAGAATAATTAAATTACTCGGACTCGAGTTATTTTCTAAACAAATTGAATTTGAATAATTTTCTAAACTTGTTTAAAAAAACGAATTTGTCAGACTACTCGCAAAGTTCAGTTCGATTATCAACCTTACACATACTACGGTACTAAAAAAATAATGTTTCGATATCAAGCCTTCACTTTTCATCTAATAAAAACGGGACAAGCACAAAATTTTCATAGTTTATAATTTTATATCATGTTAATATTTTTTTAATTAATAACTACAAATCAATCAAATTAAAATCTATAATTATAAATTAATTTTAGTATCATATTGAAAATTTTTTTTGATGGTACCGTAGTCATATCCATGTATGTCTACATACACAATCTCTCTGCAATTTGAAATCTTTGGAATCTACAGCATGCACATAACATATCTTTCTTGGTTTTTTCCTAAAATGGGTAGACTGGAGCAGCAGAAGCAGAGAAAGCAGTGCAAAGAACTCTCTTTGAAGTTGAAGGGAAGTTTCATAGCCATTTCCATGAAAGAGACAGAGGTTTGAGTGATGGTAGTATGCCGTAAATTATACTTAAAAATGAAGTAGCATGGAAAGTCCACTAGGCAATGACTTTCTTTTTTTTTTATGTGTAAAGGGCAAAAGTGTATTTGACTGTTTCCACTTCCCTCTCTCAATTATTAACTTTTTTACATCGTCAACTCAACTATTAGTTAGTTTTATATTACCACAAAATTTTGCTTTCGTCACGTTTTAAATATAAATGTATCTTTTTTTTTTTTTTTTGGGTACAACAATTAGAAGTGTTTAAACCAGTTTACGCGTACCTCGATTAATCCCCTCTCCAATTCTCCAATTCAGTCAAATACAAGTCATTTACATCAACACTAAAGTATTCATTAGAAATAAATCATTCATAATCTCACTTAAACTATCCTTGGGTTGGTACAAATATATGTACATGTGTTATAAAATAGATATTTGTAACGCTTAAAATTAGGACAATGTAAAACAAACAATCATTAATGTTTAAGGTAAAGGTAAAATATGAAAAATGTGATATTTGAAGTGACAATGTAAAATCAATAACAATAGTGTACTGTGAACGGAGCTCCGATAGACTGATACCAAATGTTTGAGTTTAGGACGTAATTTCTTCCCTTGCTGCCTCTATGTGTCTTGTTGAGGGTGTGTCATGCCATCTATCACTGTGTTACCTGATTCACAATCACGACCAACATAGCCACGTGTAGAGCATACCATAGACCGTGAAGACCTTTATACCAATTTGTAATCCTATGAGAAGCCCGGCAATGAGTACTTCGTACTCAGCTTCATTGTTTGAACAACCTTTCATAACATAAAAAAGAACATAAAACGTCTTTACTCATAGTTATATGTTCGCCTATAGGTTTTAAAGATAATTGCATTAGCCCAAGGGCGCCTGATTCTATCTTTCATCGTCTTTAGACAAATTTATTATGAGACTACTTGGCTCCTTAAGTTCCCCTTCCAATTCTGGGTAGCCATTCAGCCACAAGGTGCTGCAAGCTTCTTTGGTAAACTCTGAGGCCAAATGCAATGTTATCATGGCAGGCCTCTCTCATCCTCTATG